CTGTATCAGATTAAGAGCTCCAGCCTTATTCAAGTTAAAGGAACATGTACAACACGTTTGATGATGGATGGTACAGATTATTATCTAATGTTTTTACTTATGCAAAGCAAAATGCACCCTTACCACCTTGGATATTATTACTTTGCAAAAACCAGAAGCTATATAAAATAAACTGTAGCCAAATGCGGCTTAGTGCAACAAGCACTGCAGTGCTGATGCATTAATTAACAGTAAACACTAATTTGTTTGTATGTGAAATTATTCAATGTAATGAGTATTTACTCTGACCCCTACATTAAACTGTAGCATGCACTGTGATAGATGCATATAATTATATCGCATAACAATATTAAAAAAGTTATAGTAATTTGAGAAGAGTTTCAGACATATTCCCCAGGTGTAGCCAGAAGCAAATATGAGTAAATAAAAATGTGCTGTTCATCTTACCAGTTGATTAACAGTATAATGAATTTCAAAGGCTGCTGTTCATAAACTGATCAAACCATAAACTGTTTATACTGCAATCTACAATATGTATGATATTAGAACAACTTAAATGCTCTTACTGCATTATACAGTATGTGTTTAAACAACAACTGACTTTGGGTTAAATGTGTTCTCTGGATGGCTTTGGATGGCTTTTCCCATTAAATCATATTTAATTTTATAAGAAATGAGTTAAGAAAGTAGTGAGCCACAGCAAACTCATGAACGATCCCAAAGAATATGTTACAAGACATCACATAACTTCATTATCTGTGAATTTTTTGCCATACGTGCACCGTGGGCCTGCTCGTGCCTGCAAAAGTTGAGTCATTAATCGTGACCCAGTGGGATTACTTAAAACCAGCATGTGGTCTTATGAAGGTTGAAACTATGAAAGGATGGGCTGCTGCATGTTGTTAGATACAAAAAGATGAAAGTACACTCACCATGAGGTGATGCTACAAATGCAGCATTCATACAATCTTTTTATTGTTTTAGAGGCTCCTTTCTTTCTTTTGTCCCTAGCACAGTCATAGAATGTCATTGCTTAATTAAGCTATAGCCTCTATAGATTTACATGCTGCTTTTAGTAAACAACAAATCTTTATTATGTCTAGGAATTTCAGAATCAATGGATCCAGAGAGTGATTTAAGGATTAGGGAAGATTTTATCTGAAAAGTAGCTTTTTTGCACGGCTGATTATTTTCTGTGTGATGTTTAAAGACTGTTCCATTTCACTCTGTAGTGTATAAATCAAGAGTTGATGAGTCTGAAGTCACCTTAGAAAACTAGAACTGGGCCTAAAGCACAGGACATCGCCAACGCCAATATGTTAGGTGAGTGACAAGTGATTACTGAATTACATGAGAGAAAAACAGATATAAAGTCATAATAAACTACAGTTGTTTTGTTTCTATCTAATGAGTGTGTGATAGCTCAAACTACTTATTGTACCACTGTGCCGTCAGCCTCACCTCAGGGCAATACTCAAGTTCTTTGGTAAGCACTACCTCACGGTGTGTCCTTGCAACCAATAACCGTCCCTCAAGTGCCCTCCCAGTAACTCAAGCATGAAATCTAGGCAGGACAACGGAGACCTGACTACAGCAAAGATAAAGAGCGCTGTATCCATTAACTTGTCAGTAGAGGAGACAAATGAACTCTCCTTCAAATATTAATAGGATAAAGTAGCTTCTGCAGTGACAATGAATAGAAGAATCAACTTCTGCAAACACAAAACAAAACAAAACAAAAACTAAATATAAAGACAGACGCTAATGTCACTACAGCAGCAGGACAGGATTAGTGAAGAGACTGATTCTTATGCTCCGAATCCCGTGTTGCATTTCCCTTTGTGTGAACTCCTTTGGTTATCATGGCTGCTGATCTGACAGAGGTTTGACCTCTCCCCGCAGATTGAGGACTGTGCCATTTAAAACCAGAGTGAAGGGCACTTGGTAGGTTGTAAGTCTTTGTTATTAAAAGTCATCTGTACATCAATCACAGCCTTCACTGGCCAAGAAGAACATCACTTGCAAAAGCTTTCTTCTGCTCTGAGGCAAACAATTGACTTCAAATAATTTAATATAAAATAAACCAAGGGCAACTCAGCAGTTACTTAGTCATATATATTCATGTTATGTATATCTCCAAGGGTAAGAAATTGGGTGTATTAGACTTTTATTGAAAAGGCCACTACTAGGGTTCAAACAAACAATGACTGTATTTTCATTATTGATAAAGCTGCTGATTATTTGTCGATGTCAGAAAACAGTGAAGGATGCCCAAAGATAACGTATTCATACATTAACATATTTGAGTCCAAAACCCAATATACTGAGTTTCGAGTTATGACAAAGAATATTAGCAAATCAGCATAGTTTTATCCAGTGAACATTGGGAATATTTGCTTTAGAAAATGATATGATTAATCAACTAGCGAAACTGTTGCTGATTCATTTTCTGTCATTAAACTAATTAAATACCTAATTGTTGCAGCTCCAACCTGCGGTAATTTGTTGATAAATCTGGGGTTATATATCTGCAGTGATATGTATACACATAATGTACCCAAAGAAAACTCAAAATTCTAAATTTTAATTCAGATTTAAATTTTAAAACAGCATCTTAGGTGTTCCATGGCCACATGATATCCCAAACAGCATTAAGATTTATCCAGGCAACATTTGCATCCCCCACATTTCCTTCTAGGGCCGTTGTTTATCCAAATGTACCAGATGCCATCCCTGCCTGCAAGGAAGTAGCCTTCTGTCGCCATTCCCTCAAGTTTTAAACCAACGCATTTACAGTCTGTGAACATTATAAGCAGCTGATCGAGCCAATCTAAACCTAGAACCATTCTAGAGTTCGCCATGTTTCTACACCAGTGCACTGTGTTTGACAAACTTCTTTTACTGTTAAGCGAGTGAAATTTTCAAGCAAAATGAACAGTGAGCAACAGTATGAATGCTAATCATGATTCACCAATAGCAGACAAGCACACTGCCTCTCCAGATGGCTGTCCATTTGGCTAAAAGGTTCTAATTACACAGCAATTATAACAAGACTGAGAGTAAAATTAAGATGCATAAAATTAATTAAATCTGACTCTCTAAATAAGCACAAAAGCATCTTATATTTCCACACAGAGGCCCGCTGTTGTAATCATGTGCTTTTGTCCAGCCAGACAGTCCAGAGACCCAAACAATGTGTGAATGCAGCACCAGTAACCAACCAGAGGAAGTGATGTATTGCACACTGACTTGGAACAATGCAGCATGTCTTACCTGAGGGTGAATGTTTCTACCCCATCAATTTGTTTCAGTAGACAGACGCGCCCTCTGACATGCTCAATAGAGTGTTTGTTAGTAGCTGTCTCTGAAGACACTTGCTGCCTTTGAGCAATGAGAAAAGCTAAGTGGGACGTACATTTGTAGATTACAAGAAGATTTCTAATCATCACAACACGTTCTTTTTGTTTGAATGTTTTTTTTTTCAGTCTGTCTCGTGATGTTTTATTTTTTCCAAACATCCCAGAGTCAGTGTGATGAAGCAGATGCATTGCTGTAATAGCTGCCTGGGTGACCATATGGTTATAAGGATGCTCACACACAGATCAAATATTGCTAGCACCTTCCATGTACCTCCCTCTCCTTCTGAAATGACCTCCTTGCTATGGATGAAGTTACAGCTGTGCTCACTTTGGAAACAGATGGACAAACATCCCTTTACAATACCACAAATCTAACTTGGATATGATTAATTGAGAGAGCAGCTCTGAGTATATTTTTAACTCACAGAGCTTTGAAACAAGTCAACCCATGGCACCACAGCTCCCTGTTTCCTCTGCATTCATTATGCCAGCCTACCGGGGAGTATTATTTCTTGAAACGACTGACTCTGAGTTGACACTGCAAGGCTTAGAGGGCCTTAGAAAGTCTGCTTCAAGCACACCCCTTGTGTAGAGACTGAGGTCTGTCTGACATGTGTGACTCCTGAGGCAAGCATGCTGCTAAATGAACAGAGACCAGCAGGACGGCATGACCCAGTTCTATGAGTGCTACACTGGTTTCTTTACACAAAAACCACAGGTACTGTTGTGCAATGTTCATGAAAAATATACAGCTCTTAAAAGATTAAATATTCTTATGACCAAACAACTGGAAGGGCAAAGGATGGGAAATGATTTGAATGCTGATCCAGTGGGTCAGGTGAATCTATAGCCATCTCATCTCTATATAAAGCAGTCTGGCAGTTTTTGTAAGACTCTAAATTAGATTTTCTATGCACAGATGACCTTCTCCTGATGTCATCCTAGTCAAAAATGGTACTGCGATGCAACTAATACAGGAGGCTCTCTAGAATATCTCCCCTAGTGATAGCATCTGGATCTGTCTAAGGTTCCGGAGAAAAATCTCTCCATTTATCATTTTCTTAATTCATTTATTAAGCGAGAAAAAGTGACGTTGCCGTTGTCTTGATCGACCGGGGCCATACCAGGACGCACAGCTTCTTTTGATCCAGTGGAAGCTTCACGGGAGCGAAGCAAACAGCTGAAGATGAGCAGTGCTGAGGGCGCACAAAATACCGGAGCAGAGCACCTTTTACATTAAAATGTGCGCGCCTGATGCACGGACTGATTTGGCCCCTTGTCATTGAGAAATTACGCACAGATAAAACATGTAATCATTTGTTTAATCGAGTCGAACAAGTGTCCTTTAAACACAAGTAAACCAGTTAACAAACGAGTTGTGCACAGATTAAAAGCGTTAGTTTTCTGTTGCAAAAGGGTGCTGACAGGCTGCTCCTGTTCCGCAAACAATACAGGCTCTCCCCAGACGCACGATTTTTGCTCAGCTATCCATGCGTTTAAATACTGTATCCACTTGATCACTGTCAACATGTGAAGATGCGCCAATCTCTAATGTTCAGTTTGTGGTACTCCTACGCCAAAGGGCTACTCGTGTGAAATGTTTTGACAACGACACTGACAGCCAGTCACTTTTCTACTCACCTTTCACACGCTGCGGGACAGCGGCGCTCAAACACAGGGCGATGGAAAGGAGCAGCGGTCCCATCCTCTCTCACAATAAACAGCTCTGACTTCCAAGGTTACGAAGAGGTGGTAAGAAAAGAATCACGGAGCAATAGCCAAAAGTTCTCCCTCCTTCGCTCTCGCTGAGCTGCAGGAGTGCCCTTTGAGCTGTTGATATATGTCCTCTCAGGTAAAGTCCTCCTCTGTGATAAAGTCGGCGCCTGGATAATCTGGTTGTGGGGAAACAAGTGCAGTGTGTCTGTCGGGTCCCCCTCTGCTGCCGCCTTCCCCGCTCCTACCGCAATGGTGCGATGTAGTGGAGAGAGCGACGTGCGCGTTCAGTGCTCCCGGACAACACCTGTCAAGTGTCCCGGATTAAGAAAAGTCTTCCGGTCCAGATTTCCAGAAGAAAACACGGCAATTAATACATTTTAATTCCAAGTCACATTTAATTCAGCAAAAAAGTTATTTATTAGCTTCGACTTATGTTACATTTTTGGGGTACTATTTTCTTATTTTTTCCAGTGCTTAAATTGCAACGTCATGGCTGTGAAGGCTATTGTAGGATTATGCTTTCACTTATTATCTACAAATTCCATAATTTAACTGTTCTCTTTTCAAAGTAGACTACAAATTTCAACATGAATCTTTTGAAACTGCAGTATAATCATGCAACTCTCAGTTAGATTGTATCAATTGGCACAGCTTCCAGTCTCTTTGGATACAAGCTTCCCAGTATAAATCGACTGGTGGTGCAGTCACACCAGAATCAGTCTTTCGAAGTTTATTTGGTGTTTTCCAGACTAAACCTACAGAATATAGCATAGGCATTTGACACAGTTTAACAGTCCACAATTTTCTGAATGCATTCTTTCTTTGTGCAGTTATAGGCTCAAACAAGAACATAAACAAATGTTATTTCCTGATTGAGAAGTCAGTTCAACTCAAGTTCAGTCAGATTGAACTATGCAGTGAAGCAACAGAGTTGGGTCAATTTGTGACCTGATGTGTTTCGCATTGTTCCACATAGAAATTAATGGGGTATATATTTTTGTTCTGCCTGCAGCTTAAGTAACTACTGGTGGAGACAACTCTACTCTACACCACTCCTTGTTCTCCTGAAGAGCATTTCCGTAAACACTTCCAAGCTGGGACTTTAAACTGTGTCCAGTCAGCCACTTCAGGTTTTCCATAACCTCTATTTTCACTGGACATGGTTACTTATGGATATTCATTGATCATTTTAGCAGTGTCAAACACCTTTTCTTTGAAATCCTGAATCAACATCCCTACCTCAAAGAACAGGCAAATTTGTGATGTCATTAGGGTCTTAGCTCAAATATGAGTTACTTAATAACAGAAGTTATGAACAACATTTATAAACACATTTCTTTGTGAGCTGTAGGTCATCTGTGGACATCTTGTATAGATTATCTCAGTGTTTCTCAAATTATGCCCCAGAAAATGTTTGGGAACCACTAGATCATCCCATCATAATATCCTAACATTAAAGCTCTGAAATACAGTGTACTGGCATGCAAGTTACTTTTGCTTTCAAGCATTTAAAGGCAAGGTTTCTGTTTTACATGCTTATGATTCCAAATGATAATAGCAGACAATTTCATGACCTAGACCTTGATTTTCCTCTTTAGTTGAAAAGTCAATTGAGCTCCATCCATTCAGATACAATGGACAAGACACTGGTGAAACTGTATACGTGAAGTTCTGTAGGTACTGAACTGAGCTGTGGCATTTTCAAATTTAGAATATTTCACGCAAGGTTGGTGCCGTGCTGATTTTGCCATGAGTGATATTTCAACCACCACTGATTGGATTTTGATGAAAATTGAGGTTTTGGCAGTTGCACTTCAGCAAGTTCCAGTTTACACTGATTAGACTATAGTGAGGACTATGATTATAGGCCCCATCAAGTGTTATTTTTTGCATATCAGTTGTATTCATTCTACTCTATCCATCCATCCATCCGTTATATATACTGCTTATTCCTGAATAGGGTGGCAGCGGGGCTGGAGCCAATCCCAGCTGACACTGAGCAAGAGGCGGGGTACACCCTGGAAAGGCTGCTAGTGTATCACAGGGCTGATATGTAGACAAACAACCACACTCACTCATTCACACTCACTCTTACAGGTAATTTTGAGTCACCAATCAACTTAAGCTGCATGTCTTTGGACTGCGGGAGGAAGCCGGAGTATCCAGAGAGAACCCATGCAGGCACAGGGAGAACATGCAAACTCTGCAAAAAAAGGCCCCAGGTCGGCCGGGGCTTGAACCTGGAACCTTCTTGTTGTGAGGCGACAGCACTAACCACCACTGTGCTGCCCTCATTTTACTCTATGAACTGGTAAATATGGTATGTGGGGGCCAAAAATGGGAGAAGTACTTTTACTGTATAGCTCATACTGTAGCTATCAGTCTGACCTTGAAGTGTGTCTGAGTTCCTCATTATGAATCATGAAATATATCAAGTGTCTTATGGTTTAATGCTGATAGAGGCCTATACCTGTATGCACTTGTTCAAGACTAATAAATCATCCCCAGTAACCACAGTAAAGTCTGCTATCATCTTAATGAGACTTTGTTCCTGTGATCCTAGCACCACCCATTGTTTCAGGCTTCCTGGCTCTGTCTCTGTAACAGATCATTCATAGTGGTAAATGGGATCTTTTTGAAATGTGTTATCAGTAAAGAGGATTATTACTGAGAAGAAGAAAACAATTATCCACTGAAATGTCTCCAACAGTAAGGAACCTATGAATGTCTTATGCTAATCCTACAAATCAAGATATCAAGAAATTGGTGCCATTTTAGTGGCATTACTTTTTGTTTGGAGTTAGATTAAGAATGCACTCTTAAAATCAGATAAACATAATACCTATTTTTCATTTGACTAACTTATGAGCACTGATAAAACTCCAGAAAAATCCTCATTAGTCTTCAGTTTTGCCTGTGCCAAAGAAAAAGTGAGAATCAAACAACAGAGAGATGATCAGAGGGAACTGGCCACCGGCACCAAATCCTGCTGGTAAATCTGTATACTAAGTCGAGGTCCCTTGACCTCCAACCAGTTGCCGCTGCCAACCTACGCACTGAACACTACTCCTACAGCTGCATTTTGTAAATCCTCAACACAAGTATATTTAAACCTCACCACAGCTAGTCCTCCTTTGAACACTTGCCTGTTTTGCCCTTGTCTTTCCCTTGTCGTGTGGAGAGGCTGAGCTCAGACTAGTGAACCCTCTTCGGCTTGCATCCATCCTCATTTAGACCACAGGGACCCATTTAGGATGAGCAGTGGGCTGGAAAACACAGTGACCTTCTCATATTTGACTCATTTGCTGCTGTTTTTATTTGAGCCACTGAAAGTGGGCATCATGTTTTTATTTTTAGCAGAAGTTACAGAGCTGGGGAGGAATGTCCACTATGTGTCTTCTAGCAATAATCCAGAACTTGAAGGGCACAGAGGTTGTACATGTTCTTGCAAATGGTTAGGATGCAGAAATAATCTCCAATGAAAATGTAATGGGTGAAGAATCTATGAATTCAGACTATGTACAATAGACAAGAGGCTTTATTATCTATAATGCCCTCAGCATTTTCATAAGCACAGTTTTAATGAGGTTAACCTCTCTAAAACTGTAGATAAGGGGATGACCACTTTGTTCCACAATGCTTGCTTTTCTTTTTTTCCCATTCCCTTGTCTCTCACAGGGCAGAGAAGTTTTTGATATCCACTCACTCCCTCTCTCATTCCCCATGTTCCCAGGTTCGCTCTCCTTCCCAGTCTGACTGCTTGAATGTTCAAGGCCTCTCTGCACTCGCCACAAACACATTCTGACAAAGG